GGTTTAACTATTTTACATTTGAAATCATTGTTCCATATGTTCTGCCTCTCCCCAGTACTTCCAGAAACTAGCGATAAATGTTTATTATTTAATTTATATTCAGCCAGTGGAGATTTTAGTCAGTCTCTGCACATAACCTTTAAGCAGTTCAGTCCTACAGAATCTGTCCTGTGTACACAGTAGACCTGTCTGTCCAGTACTCTTTTAAATAGCTATTTGATATTTAGAAAGAAGTGAGTGATAGCAAAGAGAATTAGTGCAATACAGTAAGTGAAGTTGGGAAACGTATTTCCCTTAATACAGTGCAGCCTTCCTAGTACTCCGAGGTTCATACCCCTTTGTAAAATATCCTTCTCTCTCATCTGTCTGGAAAGTTAAACTTTGGGTAATTTTCCCAAACCCCTGCCATCTCTTCTTCCCAATTTTTAGCACTGTCAAGCAGGAGAACCCCTGTATAAGATTACCCCTTTGCTATTCCAGCACACCACACTGAGCCAGTGGTGTCAACAGAAGCAGAGTGAAACTGAGCCAGGTTCATTTTTTTAAATAGTACTGGCACTAGTGGAACTATGGGCCAAACCTTAGAGTCAGACAGAACCCTTTGAAGTCACTGGGGGCTTTGCCTGAATAAGGATATCAGGACTTAGGTCCGCAGTACAAGGAATGCTCAGCAAGGATGTTGCCAAAATGAAAAGGTGGAAAGAGAAACAAAGAGATAGAGACAAACTGAAAGGAACAGACGGTGAAAGGAGAGAAGAGACAAAAGGAGGAAGAGTCATTCACACAGGAAGAGGGGTCTGGTAAGAGATGGTGTAAAGAGCAGCTAGAGAAAGCCATTTGCACTGCACAACACCACCACTTATTATAGGTCCTATGGAACCCAGGCACTATCCACATATTCAACTGGCACCTTTTCTGTTAAATAACTATTTACCCAGATACAGATAAAGCAGTCCTGTAGCAGGGACAAGCCTGCCCCGTATTCTAGTGACAGTACATCACATTTGGAAACCTAAGTTAGTCCCTGACAATTGAGCTGGGCAGAAGCTGGGAGCATGCTCTGAAGGCAGCACTCATCCCCCGCCCCTCACTCTCTGGTGACCCATCTGAGACCAACTGAATACACTATTCTGGGAAACTCCAGAGACTACAGTTAGGCATCTGGGTTCACATCTACTTTGGAACCACAATGCCCCTCAGCAAAGGCCACTCTGATGCATAATCTTCCTGGATAATAAGGAAGCAGACATGATCCTGGAACGCCTCAAGAAAACACAAGGCGAGGGGAGAAATGCAGAAGTAATAGAAAAAAAAACCATAAGAACGGCCATACTGAGTCAGACCAGTGGTCCATCTAGCCCACTATCCTGCGTTACAACAGTGGCCAATGCCAGGTGCTTCAAAGGAAATTAACAGAACACAACAATTTTCAAGTGATCTATCCCCTGACGTCCAGTCCCAGCATCTGGCAGTCAGAGGTCCTCTCCTGAATCAGTAACTGGTTATAAGACAGGAAACAAAGAGTAGGAATAAATGATCAATTTTCAGAATGGAGATGGGTAAATAGTGGTGTCCCCCAGAGATCTGCACTAGGACTAGTGCTGTTCAACATATTCATAAATGATCTAGAAAAAGGCGAAAACAGTGAAGTGCCAAAGTTTGCAGATGATACAAAATTACTCAAGATAGTTAAGTCCAAAGCAGATTTCAAAGAGTTACAAAGGGATCTCACAAAACTGCATGACTGGACAACAAAATGGCAAATGACATTCAGTGTTGATAAGTGAAAAGTAATCAATGCGGGGTGAAAGTAACTTCGAAGACTTACCGGTACAGGGCTGGCTCTGGCCCCCGGAATGGGCGGGGCCTCCGGCAGAAGAGGCGGAGCTGGGGGGGGTCAGCGTCCCACAGCCAGCCCATCCGCGCTGCCTGGCCTGCGCCACCCAGGGCTCCAGCGGCGATTTAAAGGGCCTGGGGTTCCAGCTGCTGCCACAGTGCCAGTGGCAGTGGCCAGAGCCCCAGGCCCTTTTAAATTGCCGTCCCCGGGGCAGCTGCTCCTTTTGCCCTCCCACCCCGTCGGCGGCTGGGGGGGCAAAAGGGGCAATGACGGCAGCGCTTTAAGCAGGGTCCTTTGCCACGGCAGCGCTTTAACATTGCTGCCCCTTTCCCCCCGTCGGAGGCCCTGCCGGTACGGACCCTACCGGTAGGGCCGCTGATGGGGGAGGCAAAAGGGACGGGGACGTTAAAGCTTGTAGGCCGGTATGGGCTTCTTACTGGTACACTGTACTGGCCTGTACCGGCTCACTTTCACCCCTGCCTATGGGGTGTCTCTGTCCAAACCATGTTCTACTCTGGACCTGTCAGCTTTCCCACATGTCTTAGTTTAAAAACTCCTCTCTGATCTTTTTAATTTTACATGCCAGCAATCTCGTTCCATTTTGGTTTAGGTGAAGCCCACCCTTCCGTTCCCAATAGTTTCCCCAAACCCCTCCTCTCTACACCATCATCTTATCCACGCATTGAGATCCTGCAGTTCTGCCTGTCTAACTGGCCCCGCATGTGAAACTGGAAGCATTTCAGAGAATGCTACCATAGCGGTCCTGGACTTTAGTCTCTTATCTAGCAGCCTCCATTTGGCCTCCATGACCTCTCTCCTATCCCTCCCTATGTCATTGCTACACGTACCATGTACCATGACCACTGGCTCATCCCCAGCACTGCACATAAGCCTGTCTAGATGTCTTGTCTGAGGGCCATGAGCTCCTTGCACCGAATGTACACATATGCTACCTGTCCACAAGGCAGGTAATCACACATGCTGCATTCAGTGAAATAAACTCAATAGCCCCCAGTCTGCTACTGGACTTCTGCCTGCATTCTTTTTACTCCAGCTTTTTGTTTTGTTTTTTTGGGGCAGTGGGAGGGATATTTATTGACCTTAGTTTAGAGAATGTTGGGTGTAATCTGGCTCTCACACTCCCTCGCTAAACTCCGTCGCAAAACTTCCCTCTTCACTAGCTCTTCCGGTTGCTTAGGAGCTGGCTTTTTAAACTCCTGTTGTACCAGAATAGCCCTGCCCCCTGATTAAGGGTTAGTGCAGGGGTGGGCAAACTATGGTCCGGGACCGCATCTGGGGAGTGGGATCCTGGGCTTGCCCTGCTCCAGTGCTTGAGCCGGGGAGTGGGGTTGGGGGCTTGCCCCACTCCTTGTGGCTCCTGGAAGCAGTGGCATGTCCCTGCTCCAGCTCCTATGCGTAGGGGCAGCCAGGAGGCTCCACATGCTGTCCCCGCCCTAAGCGCCGCCCCTGCAACTCCCATAGGCCAGGAACTGCAGCCAATGGGAGCTGCAGGGGCGGTGCCTGTGGACGGAGCAGTGCGCAGAGCCGCCTGGCCGTGCCGCCGCATAGGAGTCGGATGGGGGACATACTGCTGCGTCTGGGAGCTGTAAGCGCTGCCCCGAGCCTGCACCCCAACCTCCTCCCATGCCCCAACCCCTGCCCCAGCCCTGATCCCCCTCCTGCCCTCCAAACCCCCTCAGTCCCAGTCCAGAGTACCCTCCTGCAGCCCCAACCCCTCATCCCCAGCCCCACTCTGGAGTCCACATCCCCAGCCGGAGGACTCCCCCCTCTCTCCCACATTCCAACCCCCTACCCCAGCCCGGAGCCCCCTCCCGCACTCTGAACTCCTCATTTCTGGCCCCACCCCAGAGCCCACACCCACAGCAGAGGCCCTCACCCCCACCCCCACCCACACCCCAACCCCCAATTTTGTGAGCATTCATGGCCTGCCATACCATTTCCACACCAAGATGTGGCCCTCGGGCCAAAAAGTTTGCCCACTCCTGGGGTAGTGGATCATGAAGGGATTAGGGCTCAAAATCTCATTAAGAAGCTCTCAGCCTTGCTCAGCAGACTGCTAGGCTCATCACACACTTCCCGCCAAACAGACCACACCATATATTACAGCAAAGGCATGTATGATTCAAAGAATAGCCCCATTCTCCTCACCCCTCTCATCTCAGTCTCAGTCTCCTCACACAGTGAGTCCTAGTCTCACTTGTGTAGACTCTCCCTCCTGCCTCCTTGCACCAACTCCTATTCCCAGTTTCTCTTGCCACTTTTCCCCTGCCACTTCTTTTCCCCAAGAATTCACCCCTGCTGGACCAGCTCTTGTCCCCTCTGCATCTTAATCAGGCTGCTTCCTCCATGTGTCTGGGCTGAACAGGATTGTTAGCGAGAGCACAGAAGAGACAGTCTCCCTGCTCTCAATTCAGGTACGCAGATCCAGACCCAGCCTGGTCTGCAGTAGCCAAGGGCAACAACTGCAAGAAAAGTCATGCTCAGTCCCAACCTGGAGCATGCTCAGTGCAGGTGGAATCTTCAGGCAATTAAGCTGCTAAAATCTAAGAAGTCGGTACTGAGCATGTGTGAACTGCAATCTTTCAACTGGGCCACATTTAATCAGATTTTTATGGGGCTGGCACAAGGCACATTTGTAACACAAAGGCCAAATGTCAAGTCCCTGCTGTGCAGAATGGGAGCTCTAGAGCTTTGCAAAGAAAAGGCTGACAGAATTTTTTTAACACTAGCAAAACAGTGTGTTATTCCCCATCCTCATTCTCAGAAATGTCTGTACCATTTTGGCTAAAGTTTTCCAGAAAAATTCAGCCTGAAGCAGACCCATATCATGGAAAATTTCAGCCCATATGGTTTGTTTGGCAAAAATATAAGCAACTGAAAACAGGGTCTTATAATGAAAAGTGTTGGGAAACCTTAATAATAGATGCTGCCATCCCCACCTATAATCAGCTTACTTCTTGGACTTGGGAAGTGCACAGTTAGGTAGGGTCAGGTTTGAAAGCAGATTTCTGATGCACCTGTTATTTTAATAATATTTAGAAAGAGACAAAATGAATATGGACTGTAAATGATAGATTTATTTCTGTGTCCTGTTGTTGAAACAAGTCCTTAAAGCTTCAATTCAATGTTCTCTTACCAACAGTGATAAAGTAATACGGCTTGTTCCGGAGAGCGAGAGAGAAGCACAAGCACTGAATGCCATATTTCACCAGCTTACGGTGAGTTCGCGCTTTGTGGTTTCAATACAAGTGCTCTTCTTGAGGGCTGCCTTTAATGGGTTAATTCACGTGCCTTTCACCCGGGATGACTGTTTCAAATCCTGGGTTACATTCAACTGAAAATACGTGTGGAGAAAGGAGAGGAAGCACAAGAAAGAGTGGAGGCCTCAGCCTAAAATAGAGTGGCAAGAATCCCCATTTCAGCCAAGCTCAAACTCTTTACAACTATTACAAATAAAAGATTCCCCCACCTTAAAAAAAAAAAGGAAAATAAAAGCAGGGAAATCAAAGTTTTCACCTATTTGTACCTAGTGCCATTGCATCAGCTTATCACAAGAGCACTGTCCAGAATGCTGCCTCTCCGGCAGAGCTTAACAATGGGTAGGGACTGCTCTGCCAGCAGCAATGACCATGGTCACAGAGAAGGATGAAGGTATGCACAGAACCTTCCTCCTATCCCCATACTCACAGCCCTCTGTGACACAAGATAATGTGGGAAGAGGACCACCATGCACATGCACTGAACTCTGGCATTATAGGTACCTGGAGGTGGATTCTTTTGAATAGTCTCAGACGGTAAGCTTTTCAGGGCACGGAAAAGACTGTTTATGTTTCTACAGTAGCTACCAGTCAGACAATGGGGCTTTGGTCCTAATTAGCAATTTTGGATGTTACTGTAATACAAATAAAAATAACTTTAATAGCCAGTGGCAATAAATAGATAAGTAAAGCAAACGCCAACCTCCACAACTCCCTTGGACTTCTGGGGTTTCTGGTTGCATTTTTATTTTGTTCTCCTCTGTGTTTTTCTCTATTCTACTACAGCAATCCCCACAAAGCACCTCTTCCAACTCTCTCATTACATGCTCCCTTAGGCTCACAGAAAGTGATTTCTTCTCCCATCTCCATCAAAGTGGGAGCAGTAGAAACTTGAATAACCACATGTTGTAACTCTTACAACAGGGTAATACAATTTTGGCAAGGTGCGCTGGAATCTGACGGGTTAATTAGAAAGTGATTGATTAGGACGATGTAATAAACTAAAAAGGTTGAAAGGAAGATTTTGTTTAATAAAAATGAAAATGTACCTGCATACAGTAATATTCACCTGCAGGGTCAAATCCTGGTCCCTGTACCCAGCTTGTGGAAACAAGCTAAGCTTGGCTGCTTTCAAAGTCTCAGGGCTGCAGTTCCCTCTGCAGCTACCTCACTTCCCATCTATATGAGGGGCAAACTAGGGATGTCAGTGGGTTTACATAGTCCTGGATATACCAGTCACTAATCCAGTTTTGTCTTTTTCCAAACCCCTCCACAATTTATAGCCAATTTTCATAAGTGCACAAATCCAGCAGAAGTCAGTTGGCGCTGCAGGTAGTCAGCCCCTCTGAAAATCAGACCATGGTCTTCCTTCTTGGTCTTCCCACCCCAACTTATCATTCAGAGAGAGACGGAGAGAGAGCGTGCACGAGTTCTCAGAGCAGGAACAAATCCTACCCTAGAAAGAAAGAACTTTCATTCTTGAGCACTGCATCTAAACATGACCAGATTGTTAATAGCACACTGAGAAAGTGAAAATAGAAACCAATGTACGAACAAACATTCATGTACAATAGAAGAAAAAACAAGACACTGACATATTTCTGTTTCTACAAATCCATCAACACGTGACAGACACAGAAAAGAAAACCTGTAGGCTATAGCAGTAATGTACAAATTACTTTAATTATGTATTCTCTTATATTGGCCTTCAGAGAGTCTCAGATTACTACATTTTAAACACAAGAACTCAGAAGTGTTTTAAGAGGCATTTACTTTGAATATTTTTTGGATTGGGTTGTAAATTTATATCACCTGAGTATCATGTTACTCACATCCTCTGTGCCTCGAGGGGGACAAAAAGTGGAACCAGTGTATAAAACTCAGAATCATTTCCAGATTTAACACACTTTTAATTAAATAACTACAAACACCAATAACTTTACATTTTTGCCCAGCACTATTTCAGTATTTGATACAATAACCTGGTTTACTGTGGTATATTAGTGCCAGATTTTTTTAAGGTATTTAAGCATCTAACTCCTATTGAAATCAAAGGGAGTTAGGCACTATCACAGGATGACTGGTCCCTTTAAGAGGGAGCAGAGTCCAGTGCAACTGAACTGATAACCTGTCACCCAATTGGGCTGAAGGGATGGGATCTGGGCCTTATAAAAGGAGGAAACAACTACTAGGGAAATATCTGCACAGAGTAAGAAGGTGTCTTCAGCAGGAAAAGATCATTGGGGAAGGCCTGTGATGAAGGCTAAACTTCAGGCAGACAGACTCCCAAGTAGGAGGCACTATGTCCACCTTGGAAGTGGAGCCAAAGAAATGAACTTTAAAGCAATAGTAGACCTTCAGGGAGGAGGGTCCGGGACCAACTGGAACTGGGATTAAGACTGTAGGTTTGAGGTCCGTTTTGAAAGTCTTTGTACAGGACCTAATAAACTGGACCGCAGAAAGAGTGTTTTGAATGTCTGGACTTCTAGACCTCAGCAGAGACAGGCTTGGACAGCAGGGGACACTACAGGGCAGCCATGCCTGGGTACAGGACCTAAATACTTTTTAAAATCTGGTCCTTAGCAAGTAATTTAAGCTATTTCAGGAACACAAGTGCTTTTTTAAAAAAGGAGTTAAAGAAACCCAGTGTTTACTTACTGTTTTGCCCCACCACCACCAGGACAGAAATGGGCCAGAAAGTTATGAAACAAAAAGTATAGCCACTTAGCCCCTGAGTCAACAAGCTATTTAAGTTTGTATTTAAAGTTAGCAGTGTGCTTATGGACGCTGTTGAATCAGGGCCACAGGTTGGCCTCTGTTATGTGATGGTTTAGGAATTAGACGCATGAGTGGGCTTTTCAAAGGTATCCAATGTTTGTCTAACTGTGCTCTCACTAAAGTCAATGCTAAAGCTCCCATTGCCTTTAAAAGGAGTGGAGTTGGGTTTTTGAAAATCCCATCTGAGGGTCCAAGTCTACTCTGAGTGATGTATGCACAACTTAAAAGCCCTCCCTCAGTCCCAAATGCAGTGCAGGCTCAGGGTAATCAAGGCCTCATTCTAGCCAGAGGTCTGGCACAAATGGGATGTAAAGCTGTCCTAAAGGGTCAGTCCAGGATTGGCTGCATGAGGGAGCCTTCAGCTAGTACAGAGCCAGCTCTGTCTACACTAAGTACTTGTATGACCCCCATCACTGTAGTATCTGAGTGCATCACCATGTTTAATGTATCTATCCTCACAACACCCCACCACTGTTTTACAGATAGGGAACTGAAGCACAGAAAGGCAAAGGGGCTTGCCCAATAGGAAACCTATGGTGGAGTACAGAATTGAACCCAGGTCTCCTGACTTATTGGCTAGGACTTTAACCAATGCACCATCCTTCCCCTAAGTGCTACAGAACCCATCCTGGAGCTCATAGTGATGGGGACACACTGAGCCAGGAGAGGCATGCCTAAAGCACATTGTGCTCCAGTGAACCCTAGCCACCAGGTTGCTCTAGCAACATCGGGACCAAATCAACCCCTAGCTAACTTGGGTCCTGGTTGAGAGAAGGTGGCTTAAAGCCACATTTGTACCATTCCTGGCTGGTGTCCCTGAGGATTTGGGCTTCTGAATTTGGGCCCTGTATGTTCTTTGTTCATCCTGACCAACTCCCTCTAAGCCTTTGGGACAGATACCTGTTATCACTTGGCTCTGACCTACTTGTACAGCCTGCAGAATTAAAGGTAGACTCATCTCCATCCAGCTCAAGCAAGTGTACTCTTTTGTAGAGACAAGGTGGAGTTACTTCCGTTGGTGAAGACAAGCTTTCAAGCTACACAGAGCTCTTCTTCAGGTCTGGGAAATGTAGTCAGAATGTCACAGCTAAATACAAGTTGGAACAGATTGTTTAGCACAGTAGTTTTCAACCTGTGGTCTGCAGACCCCTGGAGTCTGCAGACTACGTCTAAGAGGTCCACGAAAAGTTGTTGTTACCAGAGAACAGTGGTTTTCAACCTGTGGTCCATGGACCCCAGAGGGGGTCGACAGACTATGTCTAAGATTTCCAAAGGGGTCCTCACCTCCATTTGAAATTTTTTAGGAGTCCACAAATGAAAAAAGGTTGAAAACCACTGGTTTAGCATACCTAGTTAACAAACATATAGGGACCATTCAAGTTTAAGTGGCCCATTAATTCCCAGACCTGAAGGAGAGCATTGAGTAGCTCAAAAGCTTGTCTCTTTCACCAAAAGAAGTTGGTCCAATACAAGAGATTACTTCACCCAATTTGTATCCCTAATGTCCCAGGACCAAAATGTCTACAACACTACTGCCTTGTAGAGGACACAGCAGGGTCTCTAGTTGTCCTACTACAAAGCACTGTCCTTCTATCTCAAGCAGACATTCCAAAGGTGCTTGTGATTTCTATCCATGAGCTGAGCATGAAACAAATGCAAATTTACCCCTTCTTATGGGTATGTCTACACACCAATTAAACACGCATGACTGGCCTATGCTGACTTGGGCTAGGGCTGCAGCGCTTTAAAACTGCAGTGTGGATGTTTAGGTTCAGGCTGAAGCCTGGGCTCTGGGACCCTCTCCCCTTATGGGGTCCTAGAGCTCTGGCTGGAGCCTGAACATCTACATCACAATTTTATGCCCTGCAGTGCAAGTCAGCTGACATGAGTGAGCCGTAGGTGTCGAACTGCAGCGTAGACAAACCCTGTATGACCCACTGACCTGGACAAAGGCAAGAACAAGGAAAAACAAACATTTTTCTTGAAGTGGAAAAGTTTGTTGTGGGGGAGGTTTGGGGAGCGGAGGGTGGTCTCTGCTTGTTTGTTTAAATGACTGTTCTTAACCCTGACATTTCCTAAACAAGAATCATAATGTAAAGCTGGGCACCTCTTCTACTCTCTGTGGGTTGCTGAATTAGAAGAACACTGTTTTCCAGCACTCTTAGGCATACTCTGTTATGTTA